GAGGGAGAGAGAGAGAGAGAGAGAGAAGGAATGAAGACAATGAGGTGACAGCAGAGTACAATAGGAAGAGGATAGAATGGAGCCATCTGAAGGGGGGTGCTTCGCAGGGATGCTCTTCTCACCTTCAGCAGCACACCCGGCAGTTGTAAAAAAAAAAAAAAAAAAAAAAAAAGAACAACGCCAGTGGCCCACCAGATAGATCCTAAATCAAGCGAGAGTTATAGCAAAATTAATGTGGAGACACCCAAACCACCAGAGAGGAAATCGCACAGAGAGCGCAGACACGCTCTCAAAAAACATACATTGTGCCCTCAAACAGTTCCACCACGCGCTGAGCTACTACTACCCGTCTTCCCCCCAATAGAACGGGCGGTCATTATAGTCGTATTTGCCTCACGTTTCAGTCCAGATGCAGGGAAATTGACCATACTTTCTATTCCGGGGGGGGGGGGGGGAAGAGGAAGAAGTGCCTGCCTGTAATCGTCGTCGACATCAGTATGTCAGCCAGCATCGTCATCGCAAAGGAAAGGTGGTTGTTTAGCCAAACAGATTTATAACAGGGTTATTACAAGATGAGGGTAAATACTACCGTCTTCACCCAAATAGAACACCTGGTGATTATCGCGGTATCGAGTCTGAAAGTTGCCTCAAATACAGCTATAGTGACCGGGCCGGGCGTTGTATTCGGGGAGTCAAGAGGCTGTCTCTTATACACATCTAGATGTGTATAAGAGACAGGTCCATACCCCCCACCTCACCAACCCCTCTTGGAGGCCCTTTGCCACTAACAAATGCACCCCCTTTTCCATCGCGCACCCATTCCGCTGTCGATGACAAAGCCCCAAATGCCTCCTGCTGATCGCCGCTCGTCTTCTCCGCTTCCGACGCACTGACCATAACAATACCACCACCACCCCCTTCTCCTCCTCCTCCTCCTCCTCGCTGCGCGCCCGCCGCTGCCGCCGTAACCGCCGTCGCGCGCAGCACCTCCTCCGCCTCCTCCGCTCGCGGCCGCAACTCCTTACTACTGCTCCGACGATGAGACTCCCCGTAGTCCCCCGCCGTTCTCCCCTCCTCCTCCGTCCCCACCAATCCTCCTCCTCCCTTCCTCTCTCTTACCTGATCCCGATCCCAATCACCACCACGACCGCTAGCTATGTCCAGACCTCCTTCCGCTGGTCGACCAACAGCCAGCTTGTCGTACGTGAGAAGAAGTGGATATGCCTGACGACGCGGAGCCTGCGGAGCGGACAAACAAGGAACGCGATGATCCGCCAGGGAACGCGATGATCCGGCTCCATCGCTCTCATGCTTCACGGCCATGACTTCAGCATCGCATTCTGCTACTGGTCGTTCTTTCGTCCAGGTACAAGTTGAGGGTTTACCATAGCGAGGGGAGCCCGAGGGGCTCATCTTGTTACAGTTCCCATTTTGCAACGGTCCCATTCCAGCAGTCCCAGTAGTCCCAGCAGTCCCAGCATCCATGGGACCACCAGCCTGCACATGCAGTAGCCCACAACAGTACCGCACACAATCGAATGTAAACTCTGCAATCTGTCATGTTAGGACGCTGGACCCGGTTTCCAGCAGGTGCACACACAGACACAGAGAGAGAGAGAGAGAGAGAGAGAGAGAGAGAGAGAGAGAGAGAGAGAGAGAGAGAGAGAGAGAGAGAGAGAGAGAGAGAGAGAAAGAGAGAGAGAGAGAGAGGCTGAATGGCAAAATTGAAAAGCTGTCTCTTATACACATCTAGATGTGTATAAGAGACAGGTAGAACACCTGGTGATTATCGCGGTATCGAGTCTGAAAGTTGCCTCAAATACAGCTATAGTGACCGGGCCGGGCGTTGTATTCGGGGAGTCAAGAGGGTAGTATTACTAAATTCTGTATTCTTGAGGGTACTATTAAATTCTGTATTCTTGAGGGTACTATTAAATTCTGTATTCTTGAGGGTAGTATTAAAAATTATGTATTCTTGAGGGTAGCATTAAATTATGTATTCTTGAGGGTAGTATTAAATTATGTATTTTTGAGGGTAGTATTAAATTATGTATTCTTGAGGGTAGTATTAAATTATGTATTTTTGAGGGTAGTATTAAATTATGTATTCTTGACGGTAGTGTTACGTGAATTATGTATTCTTGAGGGTAGTATTAAATTATGTGTTCTTTCGAGTCGATGGACCTCTCCCGCAAGCAAGACTTGTGATCTGTCGTAGTTCTCCGGAAAAAAAAAAAAAAAAAAAAAAAAAAGCCCCTCAGTTGCCGTAATTCCTCTGCATAGAAAAGATTTCTTTTTTTTTTTCTTTTTTTTTTTGTTTTGCTCATCTCTGCTCTCATACACGCGAATACGATGATCGAGAAGTAGGGCAGACTTCGATCGATGATGGCCTGAGGGGGTGCGCAGAGGCCGCAGAGTCTCGTTGCCCCTTTCCCTACTCCCCCCGCCCCCTCCGTTTCCCCCCGCCTCCCTCCCCCCCCCTTGCTCCCTTCTCTCTCCTCCCACCCCTTGATATCCTCTCCTCTCCTCCTCCCTCCCTTCCTCTGAAACTTCGACATAATGCAGCACATCGATTGCCCCAATCAACCCAATCAGCACATCGATTCCCCCAATCAATCCTAATCACCACATCGGTTGCCCAAATCAATCCAATCAGCATCCAATCAGCACCCAATCAGCACCCAATCAGCACCTAATCAGCACCCAATCAGCATCCAATCAGCACATCCGTTGCCCGAATCAATCTAATCAGCACATCGGTTGCCCGGATCAATCCAATCAACATCCAATCAGCACATCCGTTGCCCCAAGGAATCTAATCAGCATCGAATCAGCACATCGGTTGCCCGAATCAATCTAATCAGCACGCAATCAGCACATCAGTTGTTCGAATGAATCTAATCAGCGCATCGGTTGGCCGAATCGATCCAATCAGCACATCCGTTGCTCGAATCGATCCAATCAGCACATCGGTTGCTCGAATCGATCCAATCATATGCTTTCGTTTTCTTTCTTCACGGGCTTCTCTGGAGCAACAACGACAACGGGCCGCGCCGCACCACTCACCAAATGTACGAAATGAGAATGCACCTTCCGCTAGAACATGGAAAGATGCACCACCATATTTTTTGTCTTTTGCGCATCTGGTCAGTAATGCGGTCGCTGTGGCGACGCCCAGTACCATCTTCAATCCCAAGGTTGAAAACAAAGGCCGTCCCTTTTACCAGACACCATCGACAATCCCAAGGTTCAGAGACAGAGAGATAATGGAGAGCTGACGAGCGAGGTGCCTAGAGAGAGAGAGAGAGAGAGAGAGAGAGAGAGAGAGAGAGAGAGAGAGAGAGAGAGAGAGAGAGGCTGTCTCTTTTACCAGACACCATCGACAAACCCAAGGTTGAAAAGAAAGGCCGTCGCTTTTACCAAGTAACACCCTGGTTAAGTCATTCGCAACTTGCAGTGTGGGTCGTGCCAACCCTATAAGAGAGGGGTCCCAACTTGCAGTGTGGTTCATTCGCCTCTCTGTACCCCTACTGCTCATTCATCGTACGCCATCACTCATCCTCCCACAACGACAACACTCGTACTTTCTTTCTCGACTCAGTTCCTGGACGCAGTTGCAGTCCTATACATCCAGGACATGCCGTCATTGCGGTCAGATGCATCCAGTAAGGTCCAGCATTAACTGTACTTTCTTTCTCGGCTCAGTTCCTGAACGCAGTTGCAGTCCTATACATCCAGGA